AGTGAGCTATTTTGTCGCGTTTTGAAGACACCTAATGACATCCAGGTGTATGATGAACCAGAACACACGGATGATGAACAGACAATCACGATGGATACTGCTGAGGATGTTTCAAATGCACAGCCCATCTCTCCTCCACGAGCAATCCACACCAGGAGTGGCAGGATTACTAAACCATCAGAGAGATTCAGAGACTTTGTTATGTAAAAGTCACTATGGTTTGTTTAAAAAAAAAAAAAAAATAGAGAGAGAGAAAAGGCAAGCTTAAATTTGTTTTACAATGGTTTATTTTGTGAATTATAAATAACTTGTGTAATGTTATTGCAACTTGTTATCAGAGGGAAAATGTTTAAAAAAAAATTGAAATGTGTTTTGTGTGAACATTCAGGTAAAGAGAAGTTCCTTAATCATATGTTATATTGGTCTAGTTTACAGAAAGACCTCATTGTTTGCTTTGCAGAAAAGGGAGGATGTAGTATATAGGGCCGCGCACTAATATGTACAGAGGCCCGGCTAGAGGGCGGAGCAATACACATAGTAGTGATATGTTGAAAGGTGTTCAGTGTGTGTGTTTAACGGCTAGAGTGAACGGCCGCAGTTATGATGTCCTGATGCTGCAATAAACCTCAATGAGTCTGAAGGTAACGCCATGTGTCGTCAATTACTATATAAGAAGAACAACAAATAACACAGTAAGTGTCTGTTTTCAATCAAATGCAAACATATATGGTCTTATACTGAACATGTGTCTGTGAGGTTCTAAAGTCTAAAACGTGATGGTATGTGTCATATCTATATATTTTGCTAAACGTAGTTAGAGTGAAACATGGATTCAGGGTTCAATGCCAGTCGTTGTGTTTTCTGCTAAATACTGGGTTGAAACTCGTAAAATTGGTTTTAGTTGGAGCTTGATAGAACTATTTTTGGGTGCATCATGGAACTGGCGCTGGTGTCTTCTCTCAGTTTGTTTGGACCGTTGCCTTTTTCTGTATAAGTCAAAGATCGTAGGGACTGCTGTTTACACTCTTCTTTCAGTAACTTTCATTGCTGCATCCCGGGGGCATGCAAAATACACCAAATTCTCTACAGTCTTATTTGTGTCGCAGCAGAAGCACAGTCGTAAACACTAAAGCAAGAACTTCGACCCCTACAAATACGTCATCAATTTTCTGACCAATCAGAGGCTTTCATATTGAAAACTTATTTTACTCATTTATTAATTATCTATAGCACAAAAACACATTGCTGAGATGGCAAATGCATGTTTGTAATGTGTTTTATATATATAAAAAAAATTGTTTTTAATAAGCATAGTTCCTTTTTAAGGTAAGGCTTTTTAAATGCTGTGCTTTGTATGAGCAAACAATGCGGGCATGAAACATATTCTGCTGTAGCCAAACAAATTGTGAATAAGCCACTCTGTAGATCCTGATTTATATGTTTTACAGTATGTACATCTGATTGGGTTGAAGTCAGTGCCTCACCAATCACCAACCTCACAGCACGTCACAAGTGTTTCCGCATTCACAGTGGCGGGTGTTTGTGTTTAGTGCTTACAGCACACAGAGAGAGATTGAGAGTGAGGAGGACTCCAACAGCAAAACAGCCTTTTCCAGATGAAAATATCACCACTATTTCAAACTCACTGAGGTTAAAGGTAAATGTGCACGTCGAGTACACATTACGCAATAGTTACTTTTACTGGTAACTAGTTACTTTTTGGGAGAAGTAACTAGTTACCATAACTAAATACTTTTTCAAAGTAATGTGCCCAATACTGTATATACCCAGAGGACCCGAGCTTAGAGAGGGATAACCGCCCGCGGAGGGCGAAAGGTGAGAATTGTTTTTATTTTTATAGAAGCATTAAACATAGCAGCTAGTTATTTTGTGTGCACCCTGTGCGCTCTTACTACAGTCCTGTATGTGCGCTTCAACATTGAAATTCCCCCACTGTGGGACGAATAAAGGATCTCTTAATTTAATCTTACTCCAGCTACTTTAAATCACTCTATAAACAACAATACAACGGCCAAAAGCTGAGGACATTAATATTACTATTGTTTGCTATGTTTGTACAGTACTATAACAACAACAAAAAGATAAGTTGGCATCCTCGTTGGCACAAGAGTGACTTCAGCAGATGTGATTGCTGATGCATTGTTGTGGGCCAGTGACTGTGAGATGAAAAACCTTCTGTATTCAGCATCTGCTTCAATGTATGCCTCCACTGCGGCCCATATGTACGACATGATGTGGGTGAGTGAGAGAGAGCAGCTGCTAGAAGCCACTTTACACCTGTAACATAATTCTGTTAGGCTTAAGAAAATACGTATTATCATCTGTAACTGTTTTTCAGCCTCTTATTTGTCCCTCTATTAAAATCCCATTTTTTGAAACATCAGGGAGCCATGTCCTTCATGTGTGACGTCAAAGTAGTTATCAGCAACATTGCATTGTGTTAGCGTAGAGGTACATTCAAAATGGAATATTATTGTTATGTTTTACCCTGCATTTTTTGGACACAAATTTTATTTTTGGTCACAGATTTTTCTTCATTTGCCAGATTTTAACGTTGCTGTGCTTTGTCACAACAAAAGGCTCTGCTCACACACCTGCTGCTTATAAATGTGCATAATATTATTGTGACAATACGACTGTGTCTAGCCCTGCTGCTACTGCCCTACGACTTCGGAATGTAACTAGCCCGAAGAAGTCACCAAATTATTGCAGCCCAATATGCTTATGTGCTTCCTCACAGCGCATTGTCCTTGTTCTTCCACACAGAGGGACACGGGTCGGTGTAGGACATGTTTGGCCGAGGAGTACACAGTGTGAACACGCCGACCAACTGAAGCAAGAATGTAGAAAGAAAAACACCAAACTGTTTCTAGGCTGCTGCTTACCTTTGGGTCAGGTGAAAAAGATTCTAAAACTACACGCCAGAGATGCACATAATAATAATAATAATAATAATAATACTACATTTTATTTCAAAGCACCTTTCTAGACACCCAAGGACACTGTACAGGACATAATAAAAAACATAAAAAACAGGATCAACAGAATAAAACAGTAGTCAAGTGCAATACGGAATGGTGGGTGCGTGTGTGTTAGGTGGGGTAGGACAGTCTGAACAGATGGGTTTTGAGTCTGGATTTGAAGAGTGGAAGAGAGTCAATGGTACGGAGGTTAGGGGGGAGAGAGTTCCAGAGCTGGGGGGCAGAGTGGCTGAAGGCTCTGTGTCCCACGGTTATGAGTCTGGCTGGGGGACGGAGAGTGTGAGAGTGGAGGAGGAGCGGAGTGTGCGGGAAGGAGACGCAGGGTGGAGGAGGTCAGATAGGTACGAAGGGGCCAGGTTGTGAAGTGCTTTGAAAGTGGTGAGTATTTTATAATAATAATAATAATACTTTTATATAGCGCTTTTCTGGACACTCAAAGACACTTCACATGTCATTATTCTTTCACTCCGTACATGGTGGTGATAAACTACTACTGTAGCCACAGCTGACCTGGGGCACACTGACCAGTATGCGCCATCGGCCCCTCCAACCACCACCAACCAGTCACACACACACCAGAATCATTCTAGGCAATGGGGGTGAAGTGTCTTGCCTAAGGACACAACGGCAGTTTGGCACTTTACAGCCGCAGCCGCCCCACTGTGGCTGGTGTTCCCAGAGGTTAAGTGTCTTGCCAAGGACACAACGACAGCAGGCAGTGGGAGTTGATGGTGAAGGTCAGGCTCGAACCCACAACCCTCTGGCTCAAAGGCCAATGCTCTACCAATGCTCTATTGAGCTACTGTAGCATTTTGAAGTTAATGCGTCGTTTGACAGGAAGCCAGTGGAGTTGTTGTAGTACGGGGGTGATGTGGTGAGCTGTAGGGTCCGGGTGATGATGCGAGCTGCAGATTTTTGGAGGAGCTGCAGTTTCTGGAGGGATTTGTTGGGGAGGCCGAAGAGAAGTGAGTTGCAGTAGTCAATCCTAGAGGTGACGAGGCTGTGGATTGCGCGGGTGGAAGTAGGCAGACCGAGTGATGTTATTGATGTGAGATTGGAAGGAGAGTGAACTGTCGAGGATGACACCCAGACTCTTGACCTGAGGGGACATAGGACTCTGGCTCGCTAGTTAAAGTCAATTCCAAGTCTCTGTTCCAGGAGTTCAAGTCAGATCCAAGTCTCTAGACTCGTAAGGACAGTTTGCTCCCATTGAAAACCATGTAAATCTTGTCTGTTTTGGAGTCAATATATATATATCAATCACGTATAGTGATTTATAGCTCATAGTGTGAAAAAAAGTATTTATTTGAATATCTCACGAAAAAAGTATTTATTTGAATATCTCACGAAAAAAGTAAAATTAACTGAACTTTGAACTAGTTCAGAATAAAAATTATGAACTTTGAACGTGAACTGTTCACTTTGAGCATGTTTGAAGTTGAACTGAACTTGAACTAGTTCAGAAAAGCTGTGAACTGGCACAACACTGGTCATACCTTTGAAGCTAATTGGGGCAGGGCCTGGTTAGTGCTGTGTAGGGAGACCTCTGGGAACACCAGGTCCCAAACTGTTGTTGTGTCCTTAAGTAAAACACTTGTATGAGTCTGGGGTGCACGTGAAGCAGACCTCCCTTCTGTGAGTGTGCTGCAGGGCAGCTGTGGCTTGAGGACTAGTTTATCACCATTGTGAACAGAGTGAATAAATAATTGCACGTGAAGTGTCTTTCAGTGTTCAGAAAGTGCTGTATAAAACGATGCGTTTTTCCTTCTGTCTTCCATTCTACGCCAAGGTGACTCACAGGGGAAGACAGAAGACAGAAGACACACACACACACACACACACACACACACACACACACACACACACACACACACACACACACACACACACACACACACACACACACACACACACACACACACACACACACACACACACACACACACACACACACACACACACACACACACACACACACACACACACACTCTCTCTCACCTCTGCCACAGCAGTGTACACCTGCAGGATTGTCTCGTGGCCGTGGAGCTGTCTGACACTGAGTTTGCAGGATAGCTGTGCGGTGGCCGGGCTGAATCTCTCCAAGGAGAAGGCACAGTGCAGGGGTGCCTGGTGACTGCACCACACTTGGGAGAAGGAGAATTCCTGCACACAAAGAGGAGTGGAGGTTAGTGGTGCTGATCAACAAAGAACCAGATGGAGAATAGGATCAGAACCAACGCTTTTAGCCCGCTACCCCCATTATAAATGCGCTGCTCCCCCGCAACCCCCACCTCAACAGCCCTTCCCGTCAAATGAAATGAGCACGTATTTCCTTGATTCGGAGTAATGCTTTGTACACACATCACACGTCATGTGAAGCGTATAGACTCGCCTAGAGACTCGTGCCCATGTTATCAGCGAGGACTGTCCATAAAACATGAGGAGACGAGCGTAGTGGCGTGTAGCGGCATGTACCGAGCTGCACTCGCCATCCCAAAATAATAGCCTTGGGTATTTTTACTCGCATAGTGACGTAGTGACAAAGTGACGAAGTGATGGGCTTGGCGGGATCCCCCTTAGCAGAGGTTTAGGGCATTTCTTGCGACTCACCCTCACTGTTCTCTGCCGCCCTCTCGGATGTTCCTCCGCCACAGTCTTCGCACCATCAGCCTAACCTCTGGCACAAGTGACATTTCTCTCCCTCTGGGTTTTTCTGTTGTGGATATTAATCACGTTTCATTTTAAAGCAGGTATTTTTTGTTTGTAGCCTCCAAACACCTTAAGCTTTAGCAAACGACAGCAGGACAGACACGCTTTGTTGCTGCGCATGATTGGTGGTGGTGGCTTACGGTGGTGACGTGACGTCACTTGCGCAACGCGTGGATCACCGCAAGGCCCTTACGTAGCCTGCCGCGCACCCTCAAAAATGTCTAATACGTAAGGGTCGCCGCAAAGAAGCTTCGCTGTGACTGGTTCGTGTGTGATTACTTTCTGTGAAGCATGGAGGGGCTGCAGGGAACATGGATGAGGCACTTCGGAGCAGACTGCTTCGTGCTTCGAAGGAACCGAAGGAGAAGTAGTTTGGGCTCATGGCAGAGCCTGATTACCTGGAGACTGTGGACTAGAGTTCTGTTGCATATCTAACTTATATATAACTTATAAACAGTCGTTTGTTTTGCTTTGTTCCCGTCTTGTTTGAATCGTAGCTTATTGCGTATGTTGCATTCCTCCTGCACTTGTAAATAGTTCATGTTTGTCTCAGATATTTACCACTTATTGTTTAGCTGTTTGTGCTGAATACAATTGAATAATAACTATGTTTCCAACAACAACTGTGTCTTTATTCACAGCATCACAGTTAAATGAGTTGAAACGATGAGTCCATAGAACTATCACATAAACGCGCAACTGTACCATCAACTGTGGTTACGTAGGTCCAACGTAACCGCAACCAGCGATTCCAGTAATTTCCATTCTCTCGACACACTGATGACAATAGTGATCCACTGAAAACAACAGCACAACGAAGCTTCTAACCATCACCAATGATAATATAATTGGTGAGTTATTTTTCATGATAAAATTATCCTTAAATTCTCAGTGGGGGCCACACCGATATGAAACATTGATGTCCCATAGGGGACACAACATACGGGTTGCTGGTTGCATATTTTGAGACTGTTTGAAATCATGAAATGCCAATGCCAAAGTGAATATGCTAAGTGTTAGACACTTTAACTATCTTCAATTATCTATATATTAACATTGTGAAAGAGTGTCAAGAGCTTTTTAAAACATTGCCTTTTATTTACAAAATATGAATATATTGAATTTGACACGTGTATGACACATCAGCTGAGGAGGCTTGTTTGAGGTTGTTTGAATCCTTGAATAATACACCTTGTATTATCCTCATGAATTAAATGCAAAAATGTCTTAATGTGTGGGTAGGTGGGCGGTCACGTGCACACCACTGTCACCACTTGCAGCGCGCATTCAGAGCCACAGACCAGCGCTTTGAAGAAGCATATCCGCGCATCACAGGTGCATAAGGAGGAGAGGAGGAAGGCTGCGAGGACAATGGTGACATGAGGAAAAAAGATGATGAAGCATGTTATGTACACTAATTACTTTGACATGGTCGAAGTAGAACATTACATTCTGCTAGATTTTGTAGAGCGTCATTTTTCTGGAGAAATTGTGCTAATTGTTGGTTTTAACGTGGATGGAGCAAAGAAAGAACTACGTTTTATCATTGTTCAAGCCAGAAACACATAATTTGTGTCTTTTAGAGGTTACTCTCTATTCTCTGTGTAAATGCACTCAAAGACACCTAATTTGGTCAAGTTCAATTTAGATCAATGTCAAAAATTTTGAGATAAGAGAGTGTCATAAAAGCGGGGAAATGCAAGAATATTGTAGGAAAAGCAGGGTTATAGGAGGAATGCACAAAAAACAAATATAGTTTTATTCATATTTTTGAAGATTTTTAAGCAGTAATGCTTAATAATGCTGTAGCAATATATGTCTAACGATGTCTCCAAAAAATGTCTCCTCCTAGAGTACAAGGTTCCAAAAAAGTTTTTGTTCTAAACCAAATGGGGCTGAATCATTGTTAAGAATTTGATTGGGCTAAAAGGATTTTCAGTTTGTAATTGACTTTTACATTGTATTTGGTCGGAAAATATATGAATGACTTTGGGCTACCTATTCACCACAAGAGTCTGTATCACTGCAGACAGGAGCTCTGAAGATGTTACAGAGAAAGCCAGAGATTCCAGACGAGGAGTTGCCTGCACCAAACTGCAGTGACAGCAGCAGCAGCTTGCCGCCTGACGGTGCAGTAAGCACAGATCTGGTTGGGAACAGGGAGCTTTGATGTACAATTAATTTGAATGGACACATGCGTGAGAGAAAGCCCTTGACCTGATCCTGGACTTAACCCTTTAGGCGCCAGAGTTTTTTCAAGAAAATATACAATTTTGATTTCAAGATTTCAAAAGGCTATAACTTTAAAATGGTTTGAGATAAAGGCATACTGTAAATTAGAAATATCTTCAGTTTGAACCAAACTTTGGGATGGAAGTTGATTCGTCATCTAATTTGCATATTGTGACGTCATCAAGGTGGCGGCCATTTTGGAAAATGTTAATTATTGTATAAAGACTTCAAAAAGCTGTAGCTTGAGAGTTATTTGAGATCAGGGAATACTATAAACAGTCAATGTGAAATATCTTTAGTATGAAATGAATTTGGGATAGAAATAAATTCCCTGATCCAGATTATAGATAATGTTTTAGCACTGGTTCGCGGCCATATGGAATTGTATTATTTTCAAAGACCTTCAGTGATCAAGACAGCACTCTTTATAGTTTACAGTCATGAAATCTTGAGATTGGTTTCAATATTTCCCTTTCAAAGAAGTGGTGGGCATACTATTTTTCTCAGTGGAAATGAGGCTCCAGGATTTACCGTTTAGAAACAGAGAGGTGAAATGAATGGGCACAGAACATGTCAGATCGTCTCAACAAGAAACAACAGGCTCTTCAACACTTCTGATCCACTTTTGTGGATTATTTTCTCTCAAGAACTGTCTTCATCCTCATCATCGCTGTTGGTAAAGGCAGTGAACGCAATTAGCGATGTGTTTTTTTCCCGCGGCTCTCCCGCGACTTCTCCCGCGTCTCCCGTGTTCCCCGTGGATGTCTACCCCCACTACTTTCTCCCACATGCCCGGTGTTATGATGCCCCTGTCCCCTCCACCACGGCTCCTGCTTGGCGTTCACAGAATGCTTCACCGCGGCCACACGGAGGACAAGCAGCCGCTGTACATGGGCTGATTGTGGACTATATGGCGCGGTCTCCCCGTCACCAATAATGTCTGTGTCTGCTTCACTGGACACCTGCGTGTCTTCCTCCTCTGAATCTGAGTGAGCCAGTACCAGACCAAGTACTTCTCTGGTACTGGAGACCTCGTGAGTAAATAAAAAAACACTCTTTCCCTCTGCTCTGCTCTCGCTCCTCTCAGCTCTACCGCTGCTGCTTCGCCTCCGCGCCGCTGCGCCGCAGGTGTTTTACAAACTCAATTTACTCAAAAACTTTCAATATAACCACACCCACAAATGTTGCTCATATTACAGGCACACATGTCCACTAACCCCTGGTGAAAAATATTAACAAGATTCTGCACCACATTTTTAGATACAGCCTGTTTAAGTGAGCAATGTTGCTTGTCGCAATATTGCGACTTTGGCGCTTAAAGGGTTAAGACTTGGACATATCTGCATATTCAAACTGACCTGTGTGCCGGCAATAAGGCAGCATTAGACTGAGCAGAAGAGGATTTCCTGTAGGTTTAACCCAGAGAGCTTTGATCAGGGGGCAGCATTTTAATAGGAGAGGTTAGAGAGAGAAAGTGGTTTAATGATGCTTTGATGGATACAAGTGGAAGTGAATTTGCCAATGCTTATGTGGTGGTCTGTCAAAATCAATTTACAACCAATAAATTTCAATTGAATTTATTTTCATACAGCCCTAAATCACAAAAGCAGTTGTCTTGGGGGACTGTACAAAGTTGTCAATCACCAACAACAGATCAGAGAATCAAAAAGTTTGAACACAGGAAATGCAATAATAATAGGGAGCAGGATGACCAATGTCCACAATTGTTAAAACATTTCCATAAATGACCTTTAATGTCCCCGATCTGCACTATCCTTAGACCTTCCTAACATGTTGTGAACAAATTAGACCACAACATGCTGTCTTCATTTTAATAGAAAACATACTGATAAGAAAGAGTCCTGTGAGTCACTATTAGACTTTTTGGGCTGAGAGTGGTTTTCCTGATTTAAACACGTGATAGAGGCCAAAAATACATGCACATGAAAACTAGTCATAGACATAAATTGTTTTAGAGCCAGTAATTTGTATCTTTAATTTGTCACATGTTCCATTTTCCATTTTTTTCTTGTATGAAATGTTGGTACCCCATCTTGATGTTTTCTCTAAGAGGATAAAACAAACATAAACTGCATATTTGAGACAGACTTTCTGATAGCTCCTTTAGCTCTCTCCAAGATAGCACTTCCCAGCTTTAGAAAACTTGCATATCTTCCACGGCACAACTCCGCGCCTCAGCTCAGCGTAGTGCAGTTAGTAGCCTCACTTTAAGCACTTGCACAGAAAACTACAGCCATTTGTTCACTGTCACGTCTTTGTGTGGATGTTTGGAACGTGGGCTGATCTGGGGGCCAGACGCTGAAATGAACTGGTTTGAAAGTGAAGCACACAGCCACGGGCAAAACAACATGGTCTTTCTCTGTGCAAACAAGGGACGGGGATTTAAAAACATGCAGCAACAGCTCAGGATATAATAAGACTAGTTGTGTGGAGTATCAGTGGTAGATTTTATATGGGGGCAATTAACTGATTATAAAGAGCTTATTTAGACCAAGGACATGTCAAAAAAACCTAATCTTTTTTCCACTTTGACAACAATCTAATGAAGTTGAAATCATGTATGTAGCAGTTTTCTAAAACAGGCAGGTCCAAACTAAGACAGGAGGGTCAAATGTTGCCCACTTTGTCATTTTATATGGTCCTTTGCCTTGCTGACCCCAAATGGAGCTTTCGCGAAAGTTCACCGTGGTAGACCCGGCTGTTGCTGCCAGGCCACAGGCTGCTCTTCCTCGACTCATCAATACCAGCAACGCCCACACCCAGTCAACCAATAACCACCAGGACAGCAAGTTAAAAGCCGGAGACGCCCACTTCCCGATCTTCTGAAGTCTGCAAGCCGCCGCCGCCCCACCTCCTCCTTCTCGCATGAAGCGTGTTGCCTACTGCCTCTGCCGTCACCAGTGCCTAGGCCCCGGGGGGATCATGCACGCGAGCAAGCGCCGTGCTCAACAGCATCCCGCCCGGGCCTAGGGCGCCAAACATGCTCAATCAATAAACATGCTTAAATCTAATAAGTCTAATGCGTTTTCCTCATGGGTCTCTCCAAGGTGAAGTAGCCATTGAGGCACTTTGACAGTGTCATCCGGCCAACTTCAGCTCCATCTATATAATCATGCTTTACCGAGTGGGGGCGGGTCCCGGCTCCAAAAGGTTTATGAGCACGTGTGCTGACACGCTTGTAATCTCACTCCAGGCCAGTGAGTTGGACCCGGAATATGAATTACCTTATGCTTTTCTATGGCATCTTCCTTCCTCTCTACAACGGCTTTACAGGACGGTCCAAACTAAGCCATGTACTTGAACACCTGTACATGTGCGTGTGTGCATGTGTTTGTGTTTTGTACCTGACATGTGGTAAAGGGCTTGATGCTCCAGAGGAACTGTGGGACGTCTTGGATGGACACCTGCAGGCTGGAGGAGCTGGCTCTGAAGGGAAGGGTCTGGGGCTCTTCCAGCAGCTGCCCCCCTCTGCTGCGCTCGGCCCACACCACTCCCTGCATACAGGCAACACTTCATTTTCAAAAGATATATTTATATTTATTTGCAATTTGTAGTTAAAACTCACAATGAAATATTTGTGCAAAAATACCCAGTGCAAAAGGACTAATACACAGTGTTGGGTAGAATACTTTGAACATATATTCCGTTCCAGAATACTGAATACATGACCTGAGGCACGTAAGCCTCAGTGGCATCAGGATGGGTCAAATGCAGAGGATGAATTGCCCTATGGGGATTAATAAAGTGCACCGTTACCTGTATTTTGTACAGTTTGTATAGTATTCCATTACTTTGGAAAAAATAGTTACTGTATTCCAAATACTTATTCTTGAATCATATTAAATTAATTCAAGTTTTACTTATTACAGATTGGTTTCCCAACAAGAAAAATGTTTCATGTCCGCCATGTGTTCATGATGAAGACCATCTTCTAGTGGTTGCTACTGGGGCTATTTTTTTAAACAAGAGCACAATATAGCACAATAGATAAAGGGTGAGTGGCTGGTAGACAAAGTTTGCACTGCACAGTTATACGTTAACTTACCTTCCCCTGTTTTAGAATGAAATAGTGATTGAACGTCCACAATATGAATGCATTGGAGACTTGCGTTGTTTCCGTGTCCCATATGCTGATGATGCGGTCTCTGATTCCAAGGCTGACCCCTCCAAGGCTAACAATATTAATAGTAATAATAAGAAACAGCACTTCAGGTCACAGCAGCAGAGCTGGGCAATCCGCAGGGGGTGGAGCAGGACAGGCCACAACAGCAAAAGGCGGTGCAGCCGCTGGGTGGAGCAGGGCAGGTCACAGCAGCAGAGATGGTCTAGCCTTTGGGTGGGGCAGGACGCGCCACAGCAGCAGAGATGGTCTAGCCTAGAGGTTCCCAAATGGCGGACCACGATCCAGGTCCGGACCCCAAGACCCTTTTCTCTGCTACATTATTAAAATTATATTTCAAATTTTAACCAAAAGCTATTTGGAAGCAGGCAGGTGCGAGGGCGGCTATGTGCGCACCGGGATCCTTCAGAGAAAACTTAACGTAGTTGTCAAAATAACTTTGGCAGTGTCTAAATCTGAGTGAGTCAGAGACGTGCACGGGAGATGGACGCTCGCGTCTTCAGTGTGTACGCGGAAGAAGAGGCGGAGGAGGAGGAGGAGGAGGGGCGAGACAGAGGTGTGAGAGCGAAGGAGGCGGAGGAGCAGTGACTGCCGCGTGTGAGCGGAAGAGGAGCGAGACAGAGCTGTGTGAACTGCTATTGCCGATGTTTAGTCCAAATGTACACATAAAAAAACATTATAAAAGCTTTAGCAAACAGTGTGCTCACTGCGAGTGCAGTGGATTTTGGGCATAAAAAGCCTTGTTGTGGTCAGATTGTGTGGAGGCAATGACAGAAACGTTATTTGATGGGAAAGGAGTCAAAAAAAGTCCGTCAGATCCCCTTATCCTCCTCAATCAACATGAACATGTGTTGGTTCTTAGTGTGTTGTGTAGAAATAAACAGATGAGAGTAGTGTTATGTGTGAATTATATTCACATATATTTAGCCATCCATCCATTTTCTTCCCCTTAATCCATTTCTTGGTCAGGGGGGTGGGCAGAGATGCCACCCAGTTCACACGGCACCAGCTCCTCACTGATCCTCCTGCAGGTGGTGAGTCCACAGGAGGATGGCTGCTCTATGGCATAGTCTTGATCTTTCAGTGGGGGCATTAGGCAAAATGGGGTTAAGTGTCTTGGCCAAGGACACAACGGCAGCAGACATCAGTGGGAGCTGGTGGAGAAGGTCTGGTGGTGGACTTGAACCCATGACCTCCAGACTCTAAGGTCAATGCTCTACCAACTGAGTCACTGTCGCCCCTCATATATTTATATGTTCTTATATTTCTTACTACTGTAGTTCTTGCTGTTGTTATTGAAGGTTTTCAATCATTTCATATGAAAGAAATTTCTTGAATGGATTTCTATTAAATTAAATTTTTGTATGATGTCCGGACCCTAATCTATTGAACTCATCAAGTAAGAGGCCTCTTGCCAATTTAATTGGGGACCCTTGGTCTGGCCTTTCGGTGGAGCAGGATGGGCCAAAGCAGCAGAGATGGTCTAGCCTTTAGGTGGATCAGGATCTGGCATTCACCTGCAGGTGGTGCCATACTTTTTTCAATCATGTAAAAGTAATTTGACTGAAATAAATGTAAGAAAATATTACAGCAGAAAAAATCGGTACGACAACATTGATTTTAAAAATCAGACATCTAGTCTTAAGGACACATCAACAGTGGACATCAGTGGGAGCCGTGAAGTAGGTCTAATGATGGGTTTGAACCCATGACCTTCAGGCCCAAAGGTCAATGCTCTACCAACTGAGCCACTGTCACTGGAAAAGCAATAATAAAAAACACATAGGAGCCATTGGATTACCACTAATAATGCATCGGTTTTATATAGCGCTTTTCAGGACACTGAAAGATGTTTCACAGGTATTTATTCTTTCACTTCATACATGGTGGTGATAAACAACTACAGTAACCACAGCTGCCCTGGGGCACACTGACAGAAGCGAGGCAACCATCCGACCACCATCAACCATTCACACACACACCAGAATCATTCTCTGCAAAGTGAGTCAAGTGTCTTGCCTAAGGACACAATGACAATTTACAGCTTCAGCAGCCCCACTGTGGCACCTGGTATTCCCAGAGGTCTCCCATCGCAGTACTAACCAAGTCCTGCTCTGCATAGCTTCAGAGATCTGGCTTTCGCATGCAAGTATGACCACTGTCCAAATAAATGTCTATGTATTTCCTGGATCTTAAGTTAACTATAACCCAACTAATAGAGATAGAACCAAACTGTTTTGAGAGCGAAGGACTATCGTTAGAAGGAATTCATTACAAGGATAACCACCCTGCTGAAATAGCTGAAAATTGCACTTTGGTACTAGCCAAATTCTGAAAACAAAAACAAAGGAAACATTTATAAGACTCAGTTTTGCCATGGAAACTGAACGACTTAATCCTAACGTAATCCCTAATTAGCAAACAATTAATTACAGCAAAACCAGACTATTTTGCCAAAGAAAGCCCAAAGGAAAATTGAGAGAAAACAAAAGTTTCTACAATGCTTTTCTTTTCTCATTTGGGTGACACGTCATTTTGCATATCAGCAGCTCGCACCTGCTGCAGAGTGTGTCTGGTATTTTTCCTCTTCCACGGGAAGCAGGAGAACAAGCGGAGGTGAAGGTGCTGCAGGAGTGCTGAGACAGTGTGAAGGTGGAGGTGGTGCAGGAGGGCTGAGACAGAGGCAAAGGGGAGGTGCTGTAGGATCGCTGGGAGAGGGGTAAGGGGGAGGTGCTCGACAATCATTAATCCAACTAGTTTGAGAATTGGGCCAAAAGCCAGCATTAAGCACATGAGCAATGATTGTAATGAAAAAAAGGGTGACACTCGCACACACAGAGTTTCTGTTTTCCTACATTTAACTCATTATTTTTCCAAAAACAATACATATTTAGCATGTTAAGCAACTCAATTCAACATCTTACTTAATAACAAACCTCTAAAGAAACGTTTACAAAGTTCTTGACATCGTTAGTGCTTGTGCTTCACAGCAAGACGTTTCTATGTGAGTTAGCATTTTTTCCTGTTTTAAACACTTTAGCTCATCTACCATCGACAATAAAACATGTCTTCTGTCTGAATTTCTGACACGATCCCAGACTTTGTCATTTTCTTCAGTCCCTGTAGGGTAAATTTGTCCTCTGCATTTGACCCATCCTTCAGGAGCAGTACAGTCCGCAGGACCCATCTCCAGATGTCGATTCTTGGCTTGATCAGGACGACTGGAGCTGTAGAATTTGGCCTATTCTACATGTTTTTTAGAGGTAGGTAGAAAGTGGAGGATTCCAGTGTAATGAAGAGAATATGCAAACTCCACTCAGAAACACCCTGTTCAAAACGGGATTTGACACCAGGATCTTCTTGCTGATAAACAATAAGGTCCCGGCACAGTGGCTGAGTGCTAACCACCCAGCCACTGTGCCGCTCTGTTATCCCTGTGTCTGCGTAGGTTATATACCACTGAAAACATGTACAATCGGTGTGAATGTAATGAGTGAGTGAAAAAAATACCTTTTCCACAAGACTGCTCATAGGATTCCATGGATTGTGGAATATTATAACCAGATAAGATTTCCATGTAAACAAGCAAGAGATGATAGTGAGGTGTTCTCCTAAAGCAGGGAAACCCAACACTATTTATGTATGTGGGTGTAACACACCCACATACTGTCCATCAGGTCTCTGGTGTCTCACATATGCAAAACTCATGTAAAACTACAGCACAAAGTGAAGCAGTCCATTGCAAATCTAACTTTCAAACTCGAGAACCTTTCGGTGCAGAGGTCAAAGTCCTGCAGGTGGAACATGTGACTGTGTGGGCGGTAACCTATGGCAACAGCACAAGTGGAAAGGTGAAGGTGAGTTTGGTTTGTTGTTGTGAATACTGATCAGGCTGCTGTTATTTCAGAGCGATGGAGCTGATGCACGAGATGAGTCCACTACACTGGGGACAGCACCATGAGGAAATGCACACCACAACTAGAATAGTTGTGGTATACTGTAATTTTAGAGTTCTATTTCTATTTTCTTGGGTGTAAAAGGTTAGAAGCTACAACAAAGCGGTTACACGAATTTAAAACCACAACAATACAATATCTTTCTGTCTATCACACGTTTTCACATCAGCTTTTCCAGACAGAAAAGTGAAAAAGAGATGGACCACCCTCACTCTGCTTTTCGGCCCTCATCCCAAAGAATCAAATAGTGACTCGCAGGGCATGCAGAAGATAATACATTTTCTATTATTTTTTCTCTATGTTGTGGTTTGATTTGTTCACGTTTTACTTTACTTTACAAGACGCTTTTTGTTGGGACAAACAACATGTATTATCTATGAAAATATGCATTAATATGAATAAAAACAAGAATAATAAA